ATAGATAAATAACTTACAAAAAAAAAAAAAGAAATTTCCTAGGTCATACAAACTTTGAAAGGTGGCTCTCATAGCAGGATTTGGGGGTACAGGAATGGAAACAGAAGCCCCTCCGGCATCCTCCCCGCTCCAAATTTGTTAAAAGGGATTCATGCTGTGCAATCAATGCTCATCCATTCTAGGACCTGGCTGGGTAGGAGTTTCACTTCCGCCATTTTGCCGCATGGCCTTAGGCAAGACCCTGTCCCTCTGTCTAAGCCCCGTCTCTAAAATGAGGGGATTGCATTGGGTGATCCTAAACCGAGTCCGTAATTCCCTCACTATGTGTATACTGGCTCCTAGTGGCCAACTTGAATCCTTGCACCTAATTCACTGTTGTACTTCATGCTGTCCCAGGAGCGTTGGCTCACTGAAGAAGGCAAAACAGGTCTGAGGGGGTCTCCCTGGTGTATCACCAGCTACCCAATAACAGCCCAATCAGGGCTCCTACGGTGACTGTGGGAGGAAGAACAGAAAGCACGGGAGACAGTGACCACAGTGCTCGCCCTCGCTCTGTATCTTATTCTCCAAAGCTGTTTGCAACCCCCCTGCAGACTGGGGCACCATGGCTAATGCAAATGGGCAGCCTCTTACGAGCTGAGAAGATTTCACATATTATAGTTGCCATTCAACAAACGTGAGATTTGGATCCCGATAGATAAATTCTCTGTTCTTCTGAAGGCTCTCCACCATACTTAAATAATCCTACTTCGTTGTACTCAGATAAGCATAGTTAATGTCTAAATGATGCTTTACAGTTTATACACTATATTTACAGTCTCTATTCAGTCATTACAACCCGCTTTTGAGCAAGGGTGTTACCGTCATTTGAATGCAGGGGGAAATAGAGGCTCCGAGAGGGAAAATCACTTGGCCTACACTTACTCTGCTAGTAAGTGGTAGAATCTGGACACAAGGACAAATCCTTTGTCCTTCCCATGTGCTGTACCTGCCACACCTCTTTTTTTTTTTTAAGCTTATTTATTTGCTTTGAGAGAGAGAGAGAGCTCCAGAGAGAGTGAAGGGGCAGAGAGAGGGAGAGAGAGAAATGCCAACTCATGAACCGTGAGATCATGACCTGAGCTGAAACCAAGAATCTCTTAACTGACCGAGCCACCCAGGTGCCCAGCCACACCTCCGGTCAACAATTCACCAGGAGGCCCATATAGGATCATGACTAAGAGCCTGGGCTCGGGAATCAGATTGCCTGGGATTGAATCTTACTAATCGTGTGGTGTTGGGCACGTCTGCAGCCTTCCGGTGCCTCAGTCTGCTCAGCTATAAAGCAGAGATCATAATATCTGCATCACGAAACCCTTGGAAAATTCCATCTCAAAGTCTCCCCCCTCCCCTTTCTTTCTCCCTCTTCATTATTTGCTGCACAGTGATCTTCATCTGAGAACCAGAGTGATTTGTTAAACTGTCACCAGGAGATCTTGGTACCACAAAGCTCAGGCCATTTCATTCACAAGAAGGAAGTTTTGTAAGCTGTGATTAATAAAAGGAAAAAAGTTATGAGCTGGTCTTCAGTTTTCACATCTGGCCCTAAGTCATCAAAATTTTTACATGCTAACTTCTTTGTAACATTTGTATTAGAGAAAAGTCAGAACCTGCCTCTTAGTGGCTCGAATGAGGAGAAAAGTTGTGATTGGACAGGAGTCCTGTCAATCATTTCAGGTATAAAGAGAGGAGAGCCCAGGGGCACCTGGGTGGCTCAGTCTGTTAAGCGACTGACTTTGGCTCAGGTCATGATCTCGAGGTCTGTGAGTTCAAGCCCTGCTTCAGGTTCTGTGCTGACAGCTCGGAGCCTGGAGCCTGCTTCAGATTCTGTGTCTCCTTTCACTCTGTCCTCCCCCACTCACACTCTGTCTCTCTCTCTCTCTCTCTCTCAAAAAAAAAGTAAATAAACAATAAAAAAGAGAGAGGGAGAAAGTCTGTCACCTCATCTCTGGAGGAAGCAGCGGCCAGACTGTGTCCACGCAGCTGGCCACTGTGGACGATTTGCTTTTTGTTTTTTGTTTTTGTCTTTCTAAGATTATGGTGGGGGGTGGGGGTGGAGAGAAGGGATCTTTAGTCCCTAAAAGGATGAACAGAATTAGATAAATCTTGCCAGTAGTGGCTAAGAAACCAGTGCAAGAATCAGCTTATTATTATTATGTTATTATTACTTTATTTTAGAGAGAGAGAGAGAGCATGAATAGGGAAAGGAGGCAGAGGGAGAGAAAGAGAGAATTTTAAGCCAGCTCCATGCTCAATGTGGAGCCCTGCACAGAGCTCGATCCCACGACCCTGAGATCATGACCTGAGCCAAAATCAAGAGGCAGATGCCTGGGGTGCCCGGGTGGCTCAGTGCGTTGAACATCCAACTCTTGGTTTCAGCTCAGGTCACGTTCTGACGGTTCGCGAGTTCGAGCCTCGCCATCAGGCCCTGCGCTGACAGTGTGGATTCTCTCTCTCCCTCCCTCTCTTTCTGCCCTTCCCGCACACTCTAAATAAATAAATAAACAAATAAACTTAAAAAAAAAACAAACATCAGATGCTCAACTGTCTTGAGCCACCCAGGCGCCCCTCAGCTCATTAGTACTGACGATTACCTTGGGTAGACAAATTAAGAGGTTTTGTTAAATTCTTCTGGATTAACATCTGTTCTTTCTTAAAGTTCTGAACCTTTTCGGGCTGCCTTATATGAACCAGTTAATTGGGATCTGGCAAGATGAAGGGAGACTTCCCCAGTCAAAAATTCCCTTAAGAGTTTCTGTGTTGAGTGGGATAATATAATAAGCATTCACCGAAGTGCCTGGCGTAAGTGCTCAATATGTGTTAGTCCGTGTTACAAATGTCTCCACAGATCAATAGCTCTGGAATTTGAGAGGGTTTAGGTGAAGCGGGGCTTGTCTGCGAACATCCGGTTATTCTCTCTCTCAGGACACAAAGCCTCAGGACCTTAGCCAAATACCTGGGAAAACATGAACCTGTCCACCACCAGCTCCTTCCTCTTCGTGGAAGCTGTCACCCTTTGAAATGATATGCCCTCCCCTCTAACCCTTTCCCTGCTCTTTAGCTCTTGACCCTGTGGACCACAAGCATGGTCAGAGATGGGCCTTTTATGTCCCAGTCCAGCCAAAAGCCCCCCAAGGCTCCGAGTCCTTTTCGCTCAAGAGCGCCCCCTTCAGGCAGGATGACAAAGCAGTGGGGAAAGATTTTTAGAGCCAGGCAGCTGTTGGGGTGTGGACATGCTCTTGGTTCCACAGATTTCTCCAGTGTGGCTTTATTTTTATTATTATTGTTATTTATTTATCAAATTTTTAAAATGTTTATTTATTTTTGAGACAGAGAGAGAGAGAGTGCAAGCAGGGGAGGGGCAGACAGAGAGGGAGACACAGAATCCGAAGCAAGCTCCAGGCTCTGAGCTGTCAGCATGGAGCCCCACGTAGGTCTCAAACTCATGAACCATGAGATTGCGACCCGAGCTGAAGTTGGACGCTTAACCAACTGAGCCACCCAGGTGCCCTGTTATTTACTTATTAAATGTTTATTTATTTATTTCTGAGAGAGACAGAGAGAGAGAGAGGGTGAGAGCCAGGGGAGAGGGCAGAGAGAATCCCAAGCAGCTTCGCTCTGTCAGCACAGAGCCCCATGCCAGGCTTGAACCCACAACCCGGGAGATCATGACCTGAACCAAAACCAAGAGTCGGCCGCTCAACCGACTGAGCCACCCAGGTGCCCCCAACGTTTTTTGTTTTTTTTTTTTAATGCAAAGGCCAACATCTCTTCTGGGCTCCTCAATTTTCTGCCTGGCAAGTAGCAACCATCCCCCATGAGAGCTTTCTGTGAAGCAATTAGGACTCTGACTTCTGGGGAAGGAGGAAGGACCTGCTCCCCTCGGAGAAATAGACCCATCTTCTCTCTTCACCGGCTGGTCGATTCAGAGTGCATGGTGAGCTTTGCTTTCCATTACATTTTGAGAGGGTTCCCAGTACCATGCCCTCCTGCGATCGTTCTTCCTCAGGTTCATGCGTTGGAGGGCACAATTGCGCCCAGTCTCCACGTGGTGTCCTTGCCCTGAGGGACTTCCTGTCTTGTCGCCCAGCAGGACATCTTTGCGGTGGCTGCTCTTGAGCTCACTCTGAACATCTGCTTCTGTTCCTCTTCTGTAAAAATAAGTGGCTGTGTTTACTTTAGGTGAAGATTCTGCAAACTCTTCCTGCAGACGCCCAGACAGCAGACATCTCGGACTCAGCTCTGCCTGCCGTGGGCCAGAGTCCTGCATAAAAGAATGGGCGCAACTGTGATCCAATAAAACTTTATTTATGGACACCGGAATTGGAATTTCATATCCTTAGCACATATCAGGAAACATTTTTCTGCTTTCGATTCCCCGCTCCAATTTATTTTTTTAAGTTTATTAGTATTATTATTTTAGTAATCTCTACACCTGACCTGGGGCTTGAACTCACCACCCCGGAGATCAGGCGTTGTAAGCTCTCCCATCTGAGCTGGCCCCTCCCCACAACCATTTAAAATGTGGAAAACACTCTTGGCTCGAAATTAGGCGGCGGGTCAGACCTGACCTGTGAGGTTAGCTGGCTGACCCCGCAAAGATGATAGGTTAATTGCCTTTAAAGTCCCTCCCACCTTTGAGAAACTGAGCCGGTGTGATCAGCTGCGGGGGGGGGG